GAGTTTAGGGCTGTTGTACATAGGGTCGCTATGAGTCGCAAGCAACTCGACGGCACATAACAACAACAAGGTCTACTTACAAAAAAAATTCAGAAAATACTCTACTCTGGACTACAGAATACAACCTTTCAAGTTTTTCTAAGCATCCTTAAAAACAAAAACAAAACAAAACAAAACAAAACAAAAACCCCAAAACCCAATGAATAGAAGACCCTTGATTCTGAATTTACTATTTGAAGTTAAGACCAGCTTAACCTAGGGACCAATGTGTGCGTGTGTGAACGGTTACATTTATGCCAGTGGAGGAAGTGCTTTTCCTCCACTACAGAGCAATTACAAAGAAAGCTTGCATTTGTTGTTAATAGTTGATTAATTGGGCCTAGATTCAAGCTTATCTCATAAACGGAAAACTCAAACACAAAACTTTGGGCCCTTGGCACAGAAGACTCATTTATCACAATTAGGTATTAAGGTTATGAGCAATAATGCATTGACATTAAATAATTTGTATGAAATTATTTTTTTTATTATTATTATTAAATGCGTTGACATTGAATAATTAAATAATCAAAATTAAGTCGATCCCAGGGTAGTTTGCCCTTAAGGTCTAACCCAAAGGTTAGTGGTTTGCCTCCCAGCAGCACCACAAAACCTCCTGGCCATCTTCTTCCACAGACATTACAGGCAATGAAGCCTCATGAAGAGATTCTGCTCTGTTGTACATAGGGTCCCTATGAGTTACAGCGACTCGACAGCACGTAACTACAGCAACAGCACATGGGCTTGCTGTCAGTCAGAATCGACACAACGGTAAAGGGGCTTGGGTTGGCTGCAGAGTCCACATTAAGTTGCTACTAACTCAAAAGCTGCACTTCTCTGGCAATTTGAATGCACCAGATGGGCGGGCAGACCCTCGCTGTGCAATACACAGCCTCCAAAACGCGATAGAAGGTCCACAAAGAGTCATGAGCAGCCTCCATGGCAAGGAGAGGATGGAGTTTGTAACTGACCGTGGTAATCTTAATGAGGGCAGGATGCCACATCTTCTCTCTGCATTGCAGGCTGGTGACACAGCATCCCAGCCACTAACCTTCCAGTTACCGCAACCAAATGCTGGACCATGGTGCCAGCAGGACTAACTGCTGGTAACAAAATAAAGAGGGGAAACCCAAATGGACTGCCAGGAAGGCAATTCCAACTCCATCTGTGTCAAAGCTGTAAACCTTAAGGGGAATTTCCCTTCTTATCTTTCGCCCATGAATTCAAACAGCTGCAACAGATAATGGACTATGTTCCCAAGACTCCGTTTACTGCCCACATAGCATCCTGCATATAACAGTTGTTGTTGTTGTTGTTATGTGCCATTGAATCGCTTGCAACTCATAGCGACCCTACGTACAACAGCCCTAAACTCTGCTCTATCCTGTGCCAACCTGTCTCTGACACACCTACACCCATTACACCAGTCATCTCATAGACGGCCTTCCCCTCCTGTGTTGTCCCTCCACCTTCCCAAGCATGATGTCCCTCTCCAAGGACCGGTCCCTCCTTGCAACATGTCCAACGTATGTCAGATGAAGCCTCAGGATCCTTGCCTTCAAGGAGCAGCCAGGTTTAACCCTCTCCAGGATGAACCTGTTTGTTTTCTCAGCAGTCCATGGTACATTCAATACTCTTCTCCAGCACCACAGCTCAAAGGCATCAATTCTCCTTCTATACTTCCTAGTCATTGTCCAGCTCTCTGAGGCATAACAAGTGATTGCAAAGACCATGGCCCATATCAGGCGCACCTTAGTCTCCTGAGTGATTCCATTGCTCCTCAGCACTTTGGAGAGGTCCTTAACAGCAGACTTTCCCATCACAATATGTCTTAATTTTCTTGGTACCAAGAGTGTTGACTGTGGAGCAGAGCAAACTAAAGCAGTTGCTCAAGAAAAAAACAAGTTTACATTCTTAGTTCTCTCCTCACTGTCCTTGTCAGGCACTTAAGCACCAGCCCTGCATTCTTTAGAACAGAGCTTGATAAGCCTGCCCCCTGTGCTCTGTCACAGGCAGTGAGTCTAGACAACAGCCAACAGCACAGTTAGCAAACAACCCTTTATGATGTAGTGGGTTAAGAATTGGGGTGCCAACCCAAAGGGGGCACTGCTTCTGCAGAAAACACAGGCAGCTCTTCCCTTTAAGATTTACATCTGACAACAGAAGGTTGCCACGGGTTGGAATCTCACACACACAGTGGTTTAGTTTGGAGCTAAAGAAAGTCAGTCAGAGCTTTATTCTTCCATAAATCCTGTTACCTCTCAGCAATTTCTCTTCCTTACCTATTTCACAGACACCTTCTCCAGATTGTGATCACGATGAAAGAACAGAGTGAAGAGGCAACCTGTGCGGTCCTCATCTCTGACACATCCAAGCCCAATGCTGCAGTCACTGTGTCAATCCATCTCATTGAGGATCTTCCTCGCCTTCCCTGTTCCTCCTCCTTTCCAAGCATGATGTCTGTCCCCAAGGACCAGCCTCTCCAGCAACATGCCCAAAGTATGTGAGACGAAGATTCATCACCTTTGCCTCCCAGGAGCACTCTGGCTGCACCCTCTCCAAGACATATTCGTTTACTCTTTTGGCAGTCCATGGGATATTCAGTCCTCATCTCCTCCAACACGACAGTTCGGAGGCATCAATTCTTTTGTTATCCGTATTCATTGTCCAGCTCTCAGATCCACAGCAAATGACTGAGAAGACCATGGCCTGAATTAGGTGCATCTTTGTCCTCAAACTGACACCACCGGAGGGCAATCAGTATCATTAACTTTGCAAGCTCCTTCCAACTAAAAACTTGATGCAAAACTAGAAAATCAGTGGGCTCCACCCCATCAACCAAAATCTGGGACTCCTCACTCCTTCCACCTGGGGCGGGGGAGGGATGGAGGGAGAATCCTGGTTTTCTACTCTTCCCTGCAATTCATGGATGATGACCTAAATCTGCAAGGATAAAGTGCCTCCCAGAGGGGCGCCAGGCTGAGAAAAGTCTTGTTCCAGATGAAATCCCGCCATAGCCTGGCCAGGGCAATGTCTCTTCCCCCAACAGACCCCCGGCCTTTGTGCATTCTGGAGGACTCAGAAGCCTGTGCGTGGCCGGGCTAAGAGACCAGGAGCGCACACAGGCCGGAAGATGGGGCGTGTGGGTCGGTACCGCAGGCACGGATTCAGTGTGCGGTTGGGCGGCCTGGAATGAGAACAGTAAATACACAGCAGTGCTCTCTGGTCCCCAGCCCGGGCTCCGGGTGCTGGCACTCGGCCACCTCTCCGCCGCCAGGCCCTGGCCCGGTTTCCTGATCGCAGGGATGCCCATCCTCGCGCGGTCACACCTGTTAGGTGTCTGCGCCCCGCGCACGGGGACGGGACTGGGCGCTGCGCGGGAAGGCGGGGCGCCGGCCGCCCTTCCAGGACCGAGCCCGCGGGGCGCGGCGCGGGGGGCCCGGGGAGGGGGCGTCGCGCTGGTTTTACGCCGCCCCTCCAGAGTCTGCTGCACAATCGGCGGGGCCGGGCCGCGAGGGA